GGGGTGCTCGATGATCTCCCTTAGAAGTAGAGCTACAGAGGAGGGCAAAAGAACCAAAGTTCGTGATCTTGTTTGTGTTAGATGATGCAAACGATACGTGGGATCTTAGGGGTAAAAATTAGAGTATTACACATATATCTACGTTAATCCATATCAATCATAATAAACCAGATCACCCCCTTACCTCAGTTCCTAGTAATCAATCTCTCTTCCTTCGTGTTTCCTATGGAAATCCCCTTTTGGTTCTCTGTGTCGTAACCCTTTCTCCATAGCTTTTCTCCAATCTCATGATCGTATAGAATGAACCATAACTCTCTAATTTTATCTTTTGTCTTTGTTACCCCTAGGATCCTTTTTATAGTACACCTCTTATGCCCTCACTTATTCCCCACAACATTACCATCATACCCTCCTTCTCCTTTTTCACCTTAATATCTATTTTAAAATTATTATTATTATTCCAAATAATATAAACTAAATTATTTAAATCTACATAATTTTATTCATCACCCGATATTCCCCTTATTTCCCCACCACACATCAACATACATCATGTAAATAAATCAAAATTCACAAATAATCACAAACAATCATTTAGATAAATAATTCTAAATTTTTAGAGTGTTACATGTTTACGTGTTATCCACGATACTATTTGTGTAAAACCCATGTTTAGTTGTAACTGCTTCCAACTTCCTCACAAACCCTCGACGCTAACCGCTCTAACGTGCCGTTGATTATCAAGGCGTTTAGACTTGTAAATTTACCAAGTCTTTCACTTTACATGGTTCAGTCGGCTAGTCCTCTTTATGAAATAAAAAGGCTTTGTCAACTATCCTTTTCGAGATTTTTGTCATATCTCCCAGCGATCTTGGTCTTGGAGATTTTATCCCTAAGATTCCTCCAAACCATATATTCCTGTGTCGATGGCTCGGTTGATCCCTTGTATTTGGTCAGTCGCTTCAACATTAATGCTCTTTAAGACACTTCATTAATACTTTCTCATAGCAAATGTCTTTTCTTTAACATTCTTCGTTGACTTTCCACTAGCTAAAAAATCCAAATATAACAGGGGTAGAAAGGTCATTATTAATTTTATGCTTAATGGAATCTCTATCTTCTTTTTGTCTTTCATGAATATTCTTGTGAGGATTTGGAAGAAGCTAGTTAATATTCAAAAAAGGTTCCTCTGTGGAGGTGTGAAATGTGATTTTAAGAAATCATGGGTCAAGTGGGAAAATGTCTGTAAACCTAAGAACAATGGGGGCTAGAGTTAGGGATCTCCAGTTGATAAATCAAGCCCTCTTGTCCAAATGGAAATGGAGATTGGTTAATAGAGTTTTAGTATTTGGTGTGAGATTTTTGTGGCCAAATATATTGCGTTGTTTCCTCTCTTCAGGGAGGAACTTTAGGTTTCTGATCAACTTCTTTGTGGTTGAAAAGAGTGTCTCTTCTTGGATCCAAAGAGGTTGATACGTCTGGTTGATTTGGTGATGGTATACATAGAATTTAGGGTTCAAGCCTCTGGATTTTATTTTTGAGAGGATCCTTAGGTAGGATTTTCACTCTTAAACATAAGTTGTCTGGTCTTTATTCAGTATCTACCTAACAAGATGGTTTGGTGGGAGAGATTGACATAATGGAGAAGAGAACCTTGTTTTGGATCTCAGGTGGAGGAGATCATTTTTCCTCTGTGAGTTACATGTGGTTGATGACCTTTTGTTTATGGTCTATAATTTGAATTTCTCTAAGGACAAAGATAACTTGAAGTGGAATCATTCAGGAGACGGTGGTTTCTTTGTTGCTTTTGTTATCTTTTTCAGTTAGGCTTTTATACTCCTCATTTGTATCCAAATCTAGTTAAGTACTAGACTCTCCCTTTAATTTAGATTAGTTAGGACTTTTCTAAGGTGTTGGTATTCTCTTGGAAACTTCTGCAAGATAGGTTTCCTTCTAGAGAAAATTTGTTCAAAAAGGGGTGATTGCTGATTCTAACGAGGTTGTTTGTACCTTGTGTGACGGTATGGTTGAGTCGGTCTCTCATCTCTTTGTCACCTGTGAGTTAGTGTTGTCAATGTGATATATGATCTTTTATTTATTAGGTTGTTAAGTGGTTATTCGTAATTATCATAAACTCTTGTTTGAGTTTTTCCTCTATCTAGGTGGTAGGTATAAGTCTAACGAAACTTTTGCTATAATTTAGCATGATATTATATAATATATTTGAAGGATTCGTAATGATGGTATATTTAAAGGTGTTTCAACAATTGTGAAGGAAATGGAGGAAAAATATTTTTTTTTGCCTTAAAATAATTTTTAGGTAGAGTAGATTTGGAATGATACACTTTCTCAAACTGAGTTCAGAGTCATATCATTTGCCTAAACTGTTAGTGGATTGAGAGTTTATTCCAGTTTTGAAGTTGGTAGTGATTTGTAGTTTTTAGTTTCCTTTTTGTGTCCTTTAATATGTTGATGGCGGTCTTGGAAGTCTAAGACATAATCTAATTCCGTTTGATGAGGTTTCTAATTATTTATATTTGTGTGTTTCTTCTAGATCTAATGTTTTTTTTTTTTTTGGTTATCTACTCTTCGGTTGGTTGGTGTATTTGTTGTATCTTTTATCGTAAAAATTTGTTTAGCATTTAAAAATAATAGACAGATAAATACAAGAATGTTCATATGAATTTTGATAATTTTTATTTATTTATTTAGAGTCCGTTTTTCATTAAGAATAGTTTAATAAAATAACAATAATATTATTTTTCTTATTTTTTATAATAGGCATGAATCCGGTTATCAAAAATGTTAAAATTTCAAATTCTTAATATTAAGGTACACCTCATAGAAAATTAACAAACACACAACATTACAAAAATTATTCCTAGACAAAGTTGTACAAAAATATACTCGAGAAAACGCATCATTTCCCAAACCACAAAGACACACATGATTACAAAACAGGATTGCTATGTTGACACCATTTTCTACACCCTACACCCAATTCACTGTTCACAAATACTTGATCAAATTCTTCAGAATATGGTTAATAGTGTGTATTTTATTGGTTAATGAAGCAGTGAAAGTGGTTAATAAATTATAGGTAAAATAATTGGTTAATGATGTAGATTTTTGTGGTTAATGCAACTCTGAAATTGGTTAATGCGCAATACTATATTTGTGTTATAAAATAAATTTTAAAAATAAAAATATATTTTTTTAAAATTAATATTTTAAAAAATATATATTATTTTAATAAAAAAACACTGTTCACCGTATAAATACGGTGAACAGTGCATACGGTGTAAGTATTGGGTGTAAAAATGGGTGTAAGAATATCATTTTTGATTACAAAATGTACAAATAAAGCAGAAAAAATGCAGTATTCAAGTTCACACTATACATGTTACAGAAAATAATATACTATGCTATCATTACTGGCCCTAGTGATAAGAACTGGTTCATGCTTTCTTTCAATGGAATCCAAAGACAACCTTCAAGCGTAACCAGGAAGGAAGAATCATATAGGAGACAAATGAAAACCATTTCAAGTATATGAATCTTGATTTTGTTTGTTTACGTTAAGAATAAATCAATCAGAATAAATTCTCTTCCTTTATTCTGTGTGTTGCTCTAACATGTTATTCTGGTACAAAAGTAACTGGTCGGTGCAGTAAAGTTATAAAATATTTATATACTATTATAAACGTTATTATCTACTTAGTTGAAAACTTTTACCTTTACACGTTAAAAATTGATGTTAAAATACTACTTAATAATATTTAAAATTCTATGATTACACTTTCTTTAAGATTATAATAAATTATATGTATCGATAAAGCTGACAATTTAGTTTTACTACAAATTTTGATCATATTTTCTTAAATATAAAGATTTGGAACGTAACAAACAAACCATCTTGAGTGTTTAAGTGAGATCTACTCGCAATATTATTTGGAAATAATTCATTCATTTTTTTACTTTAATGGTATTTTTAAAAAATTAACATACTCTCACAATTTTAACTCACATATTGATATTTTATTTATATTTATTATTTTTACTTATAATTAATATGAAAAAATTATTTAATATTTGTAAGACTAAGCTAGAAAGTTATTGTCGAATAAATTACAAAGAAATAAAGTTGAGATAAAAGTTATAAAAAATTGAAAATAAAAATAAATAAAAAATATATAAAATAGTAAAATAAAATTGAATGTAATAATTTTTTAAATATTCATATTTTCTAATATATATATATATATATATATATATATATATATATATATATATATATATATATATATATATATATATATATATATATATATATATATATATATATATATATATATATATATATATATATATATATATATATATATATATATATATATATATATATATATATATATAAACTTTAGAAAGTAATTATATTAGACCTATTGAGATTTTGTAGTTCTAGTGTAAAATTTAATTCATATACATTATTATTATTATTATTATTATTAAACAATTACAATAACTAAATCATTTGAGATACTTTAATTGTATCATAACTATCAATTGAAAACTCTTAAACAATTGTGAATACTATTAAACTTTTTTGAAATTACAAAAATTAATTTTTTTTTAATAAACAAAAAATATATTGAAAAGAGTACAAGGATACTCAAACCATAGAAGTTAGATCTTAACAATTTTTGTGGATCCCTTCATTAAAAGATGGATAAATAAAAAAACAAAATTTGTGCTAGTTACTGTTTTGTTAGTAGAAGTTGAAGCTACGATCTCTTTATTATCTCAAATATATCCTCACCAACCAACAACAACAAACATTTAAAATCTCACTAATGAAAAAAATAAAGTATACAAGGTTAATGCATAATTACCAAAAAGATATGAAAAATTATACTCACAAAAAATTTGGAAGAAGTTAATTGCACCCCTTTAAGAATTATACGTAAAGTTACACAGAGAAATCTGATACAAAAGTAGCATCATTTGGTAGTTTTCTGATTATTATCTCTTCGAATTTTCTTGGCGCCATGTAAATCAGTAAATGGGATATGCTGAGTTTGTAACAATAATTCAACTTCTTTTGACAGATCAAGTGGTAACTGTCTGCAGTTACAGTATACTGCTCTTCTTTTCAGAGATTGTTTCGTTTTCTTTGGTGCAGGTGGACATGTGAGCACTGTAATCTTGTGGTCCAACGTTGTTGGAGTTCTGAAACCATCTTCATCTTCTTCTTCATCTTTCTCTTGGACCTTTTCTTCTTCTGATGACGACGATGATGCTGATGATAGAGTTTTCGAGGTTTCTTCTGTTTCTTTCTTATCATTATCAATATTGATCTCTTCTTGTTTATCTTTTTTGATAAGAAAGAGTTCTTCCGGATTTGATGACATGTTTGAGAAATGATGCACGAAGGTAAAGAAGAAAACAATGAACGAATATAGGTATAAAAACAATGAAAAAGAGATAGAAAAAGAGATAATAGGTGATAGAGAGTTATAGGTATATTGTTTGTTACAGTTGTTTGTTTATAGAGAAGAGATCAGAGTTGAATATAATACTAATAATGATAATAATAATCAAATGAAAATCTATTATACTCTATGTTTAATGATTTCTCTTTAGCTTTACTTTTTGGTGATGGATTCTCTCTCTTTGTTTTCAGTGTATTCTTACAAAGGAGTGGAAGTTGAAAGGGTTTTATGAGTATAAAATAAGATGCACTGGATCCTATAATTTCGGGTCATATCATGTAATGATGATGTAGTGTGTTTATTTTCACTGTTACAACCAAAAGTTACTCCATATACATAAAATTGTTTTTGTTTCTATAATTACTATTTTTAATTTAAAAGTCAGGATTTATGATTTTAATTATGGTATTATTTTTATATTAAAATTTAATGTTTATTTTACTTTGACTTTAGAGTGTCTTTGAATAAGAGATTTAAATGCGGTTGAGCATTATTTTGAGCATTATTTTGATGACCTTTTGCTAGTTGATTTAGAACAAAAAGAATAATATAATTTTTGATGATGCTATAGCTAGTGTGACTGAATTTTTATTTTTTAAATAAGAAACTTTAATAAAAATCTAGAAAGAGGTACAAAAATGAGGTCAAAACCAAACCCATCAATTGAAAATAAGTTTATAATTGGGGAGACCCAACCTATCATGATTAAAGACACTAAAAAAACTTATGGGAAGCGAATGTAACCAATTGAAACCGGGGGAGGAGAGTCCTGAATTGGCTAAATTGTCGACTACGACATTGTCCTCTCTAAAGGTATGGGAGATAGTGAAATTGATGCTCCTAATTAACACCAAACAATTGCTCCACCTGATTCTTAGCATCCAAGGAACAAGAGAAGAAGAGTTATAAGGATAACCAAATTAGAATCAGTTTCCACCCACAAGTTAAACCAATTTTTCTCATGAGCACATTCAATGGCATTTATGAAGCCAATGAGCTCAACATGATAAGTCGTTCTAGTGCCTAAATTGACAGTCAAGCCACCTAAGAACCTGTCAAATGATCTCTAACAATACCACCACATGAAGACAAACCAGGGCAACGAATAACAACACCGTCCATATTACATTTTACCTAAGAAACAATAGGAGGTTTTCAAATTATCTTCTTGAGAATAGTAGCTTTAGGAGGGTGAACTTTGATTTGAAAGGCTTTAAGCAGAAGGAAATCTCTAATAGAAGGACTGGACAGTAGAAAGGTGTGTTTCGGAGAGATACTCAAGTTTGACAAAATCCAGTTCTTTGCCACATTCAGACTATGCGTGTTGTTGTTGAAGCGAGATTGATTCCTATGATACCAAATAGTATTATTGATGTTGATAATGGTAGCATAGAACGACCACAAATCAGAAGGCTGGAGAGGGAAGAAAGCCACATTAATCAGGCTACTGAACTAGGACCAAATAGCAACCACCAATTGGCAATTGAAGAAGATATGAAAAGTAGAGTCTTCCTTAAAATCAGAGGGCTGCAATTAGAGGGAAGACTGCAACCTCTAAGCTTAAGGTTATCATCAAAGGCAGCATATTATGCATGAGTTTCTAAATAAAAAGAGAGCTATAAGGAGGAGTAGAAGAACTCCAAATTTTCTTAGACCATGTCACATGAGGATTAAGAGGTTTAAGATTCAGGTATGCTTCCTTTAGAGTAAGAGAACTAGAAAGAGAGTGGCTTTAAATTTACTCATCCTCTTTATAATCAAGAGGAATATGGGAGTTGTTGACTGCAGCAGTGATTTGAGGAAATTCTGTGACCATCTATGGAGAGAAATTCCAGCTACCATTGGCTATGAAGTGTTGAACTTTGGAGGTAAGATCACTGGTGTTGGAAGGGTTAAAATTAAGGGACTCAATGAAACCTTTACCACAGCAAGGATCCATCCAGAAATCAATAGTTGAACCATCACCTAGGAGACAAAAAGAATTTTCCAGGAGCATTTGGAGGATCCAGCATAAATGATATATTTTGAAATATTTTGAGGGATTGATGTTCTGGCCAGATATCTTAGCATAATTATAAAACAGATCCAATAAAGCATCAATGTTAGACAACTTTCCTTTTCAAAATAGGACCACATCATCAGCATAAAGGGAGTGGGGAGGAACTTTCATAGCCCTACAACCATTGATCAACTCAAGATTACCATGCTCCACAAGCCTAGATATCCCTTTGATGAGAACCTTTTCAACAATACAGTAGAGAGAGGGGACAAGGGGTTACCTTGTCTGACACCTCTTTTACATGAGAAATACCATGAAGACTACCATTAAGAGAATATAAAGCTTAGCTTAAGGAAGAATAGTGTTAATCCAAACACAAAAAATGTCATAGAAGCCAAATTTCTTTAAGACCTCTTAATGAGGAAGCTCCATTCCAACGTATCAAAGGCCTTAGCCATGTTAATTTTGAGGAAGAGATTACCACCAATGGGTTTGTTAGGAAAAATATTAATGGCTTTAGAAGTAATGGAAATGCAGTCCCTTATGAGTCTCCCATGAGTGAAGCCCTTTTGCTACATAGTAATGATATTTGGCATGATGGAACCAAGCCTGTCAGCCAGAATTTTAGAGAGGATCTTGAACTTAAAATTATCCATGGCGATAGGCATGAATTTATCCACAATACTAGCATTGTCTATCTTGGGAATGAGCATAATGAAATTTGAGTTGAAGTTAGGAAGGATCCAGTTTTTTATGAAAAATTCCAACACAACTTTTACCACATCATCCTTAATAATGTCCCAATAATTTTGGAAAAACCACATCCAAAACCATCCGGTCTATGAGCACTATTTAGATTCAAAGAAAAGACAACATTTTGAATTTCCTCATCAGAAGGAAAGATGGTTAATAAATAATTGATGTCCTTAGTGATGAGCATAGGAATAACATCTTCAAATTATTGTCCTGCGAAAAAGAGGAAGAGTTAAAGAGAATGGTGAAGTGATTCACAGCATGATTAGCAATGTCAGAATGATTAGTAATAATGTTATCCTCCACTCTCAAAGAAACAATAATTTTAGTGGAGTGATTAATTTTAGATAATTTATGAAAATAAGAAGTGTTTCAATCACCTCCGAGCCCATTTGATTCTAGATTTTTCTTTCCAAAAAGTCTCTTCCAAGAAAAGAGTGTAACACCTCAGTTTCTGAATTGTTATTTTACGTGTTTATTAGTGATTTAATTTTATTTTTAATTTAATTATTATGTGTGATAATTAAATTAATTTGGGTGTTAGGGTTGTGTGACCTTGAGGGGGGAGGTGTGGAGAGTGATTAAAAATTGGTAGAGGTGGACTAGAATTATTAGAGTCTATTTTAATAATTAAGTAATAGTATTTTAATTGAATTATTTAATTAAAATGAACATAGGGAGTTTGGAACTTAATTGTAAATTAAGAGAAATAGATAGGAGGAAGGAGGAAGAGAGATGGTTAATAAGGGAAAGAATTATATTTTTAATAATGTTATCCTAATTATATAAGGTTAAGAGATAACTTAGATTTATGGGATTTTTTTATCAGTACGTGAAAAGAGAATTAGAGGCATAAGGGAGATAAAAGGTTAGAGTTTTGGAGGAAGAAGAAGAACAACTAAAAACCAATTCAAATTAGATTGCTTGCTAGGAATTAAGATAAAGGGATAATCATTTCAATAATGGGTATGTGCTTAAGGGGTATAATTGAGGAGTCCTTAACCTCCAATAGCATTGAGTGTTCTAATGAATAATTTTAAATTTGGTGCTTTAATTATTATTGTATGATGAATTTCGTATGAACTTTGTGTACCATTATATGTGCACAAATATTGTTTTGAGCTGTTGATGAAAATATGCCATTATTGGTGATTGATGGTTTGTGCATAACATTGATATGAAAAATTATCATGTTGATTGTGTTAAATGGGTGAATTAACATGTATGAATTGGTGTATGATCTCTTTGGTTAATTTTATAAACTTATTTAAGATGTTAGAGTCAAAAATTGGAGTTATGCATTGAACTCCATTGAAAAAGACAAATTTTGCATTATGCAGGTCAATGGTGGGTGCCATGGTCATATCGGGTAACCTGCCATGAAACCCATACTCAATTTTGGAGACGGTCGTCATGCATGTGACATGTGTGTGTTGTGATGTCCATGGTGGGTGCCATGTCTGTGGCGGGTAACCTGTTATGAGCCTTAAGTGGGCTTAAATACTTGTTTTGATGGTATTAAATAACATATTCTGATTTTTCAAGTTTCATTGATGTTTTGAGTACTGTTAATACATCGTTAAGTATTGTTTGAATGATGATGCTATGATTTGACGATTTAACATGATTTTAATTGAATTTATGACATATGTGATGAACGTTGGATATTTGCATAATCGGTGATGATATTGTATTACTTGTTGTGAATTATGATGATGATATGCTGATATATGAGCATGACTTATGTTGTTTGTAACACCCTTTTCTACCCCACGGTTATTAAGGCAAAATTACACGGTTTTCAGAGTAAATAAATAAATCTCAATAAAAAGCCACCAAAAGGGCGTACATTTCTCAATGTCATCAAAATAGGTCAATACTCCATAACTACGGGTTTTCCGCAAAATACATCAAAACATCATAAAACAGCGGAACTCAAAGCATAAATCAAAGTTTTCCTCAAAAAGGGAAATTAATCAAAATGACTTCAATAGTATAAAATCAACTCAAAGAACCCAACCCGATGTTACATATCAGAGCAAGACCCTCTAAGCTAACCAAAAGGCTAAAACACTCAAAAACTTCAAAAATACTCATCGACGACGTCCACGGCTAAACTGGGTCATCTGCACGTTACCCACGTGGAGGTAACATTCAAACAGGCAGG